CAGACTCCGGAGTACTATTGAGTTATACTGTACCGCATGCAGGCATGTCGACGCGTTGCCTACTCGCTAAGGGGTTCAGTCGCCGCCGTAGTGAGAGACGGTAGGCAAGCCCGCCCGCACGGCTGCATGCGGTACAGTATTACTACGCAATATTCCGGGGTCTGTGAGGGCCACCCTGTAGATGGTTTATAGCAAAGACAATTGTGTTGGTTAGGTACCAAGTCCAAAAATCAGGTGGTGATGGAAATTAAGATTGTAAAATAACTGCAGCATTACAAGGTCCGAAAATGTTTTTCATTGACAGAAAGCAAACTTCAGAGGACAAACACAGGAAAGACATGTGTTATCTTAGGGTGTGGTTGTCATGACACTGCTGCAATCTTATCTGTGAAGTCATGTCACCCACCTGCCTTACCACATCAAACATTTCTACTATTTAAAGATTTACAAGAGACTGATCAGTAATTTGTTGGTGTGGTACAGCGGGCAACAGCATTAATATTGATGCTATCTGTAAATATTCCTAATTGGGGGCTTATCATGAAGCGCTCTGCTTACTTGACCTTGGCTTCATTATTTACCCATTTCCCCCTCCGTATCAGGCGGGTGCGTAGGCGGGGCGGGGTGGGGTGGGCCGCCCAATCAGATGGCAGTGACCTTGCGCTGATGATTCACGCAGTTCGAGAAATTTGCCTCTCCTCCTCCGCGAGCGACGACGCGCGCGCTGGATGTCCGCAGCTGCGGCTGGACAAGCACCTGCTGAGGTGAGCGGCCGACCCGGCCACCCGGACGGGCTACTGGTGGGGCTTAGCTGGGGCCAACTCTGCACCGAGAAGCCCCGAGCGACGGGGTAAAGTACCTCAGGTACATGCCGTCGACGCCCGATGACCTTCCGTGCACGAGGTGCACGCACGACCCAGGCATGGGCGGTGGCGACGGGACCACCTAGGGCGGCACCGATCGCCTGTCGAAGTGAGAGGCACTACAGACGTTTGGCCTGCCCGGCGCCCGTCCTGCGGAGCGGAGATGGGGGGAAGGGCGCCTGCGGCCTGCGGCGGACAGCTGGGCTGTGGCGGAGGGCCTGGACCGACGCCAGGCAACTGGTGCTGCTTTAGAAAACAACTGTCTAGCTAACAGAAATGTATCAAAAGCAGCGTGTGCCCCTGATCTTCGCGCCGTCGTTAGAGGGTTCCTGGTGGACGCTTCCGGCATGCCTCGGCCCCCCTACCTCAGTGCGCTAACAGTACAAGATGGGTTGTGTTTCAGATTACTTCCCTTTTTATTAGCAGAAAATATGAAGTAACGGGACTCTATAAATCGTTGCGGTAAAAGTAAAAGTGCTTAAAGCGATCGCGTCACAAGCTTGTTACTACTTTGAACGCGGTCAGTTAAAGCAGCCCACAGCCCACAGCTCACTACGCACACGCACAGGTGTATTCGTTGGCATTTTTGCCTGATTTTTTAAGGACCACTGAGTTACAGGCTAACGCCGGAAATAACAAATATAAATAATCGGCTTTTACGTTAGCGTTCACGTTTTTGCCCCGTTCTGCTGTATCCGCCCGAGCCGGGCCCCGCGACGCGACGGCCGGCGTGTGAGTCATCGCCGTGATTTGCCGCGCCAACGAGGAATCGGCAGCGTGCGTATGGCAGC